TGGGTCTCTCTGTTGATTGAGATGGTCTCTTTTTTTTTTTCTGCCCAAGCTAGCCTTGGATACAAACCCTCACCATCTCTTCTTCTCAAGTAGCTAAGGATTACAAGCATGAGCCACATCCTGACTCTGGCATGTGTTTTGACCAAATGCATAGATTTGAATAACCTTGATCTTATTCACACACACACACACACACACAACGTCAGGTGCCCCATTTTACAGACCAGGAAACTGAAGTTCCATCCCAGACACTCCAGGACAGGGAGTCCAAGGCGACCTCCACAGTTTTTCCTCACACTCTCACCCTGCAGCCTGCTTTCCTCTGTCTCCTGAGTGCTGACTCCTTCTCTCGGGTGGAGCTGCTGCGCGCCGAGCGCCGCATCCTGAGCCGCTTGGATTTTCGGCTGCATCATCCGGGTCCCTTGCTGTGCCTTCACCTGCTTGCTGCGCTCGCCAGGAGCAACGCCCAGGTGCTCTTAGATAGGGGCGTGGCCCGCGCGATGGGCGTGCCCCGTCCGGGATAGGCGTGGCCAGCATGTTGTAGGCCAGGCCCGCACTGGGCATGCTCCAGCCGTGCTTTGTGGGCGTGGTCCTTGCATAATAGGGCGTGTCCTTGCAGTGGGCAGGGTCTGCGTGGTGGGCATGAGGGCGTGGTCTGATATTCCTCCTCGGTAGGTGAAACGTCTTGCTACCTACTTCCTGGAGCTGTCCTTGCTGGAAGCTGAGGCCGCGGGGTGGGAACCTGGGCGTCGGGCTGCTACGGCTCTGAACTTGGCCTACCGCGTGCTGGAAGGGGCAGGCTCCAGACCTGTACCTGCGCTTTACAGGTATGGTCTTGATGGAGGGCCTGTGCTGCTCCAAGAGCGTCCCCTTCTGTCCCCTTCTAGTCAGAGGTGTGTGTGTGTAGGTGTGTGTGTGTAGGTGTGTGTGTGTGCGTGTGTGAGTGTGTGACTAGACTGATATTTCTGAGTGTGGGAGAGAATGGGATCTCATTAGGAAGATCCCATTCGTTTTCTCAGAGGAAGGGTAAGAATGAGGGTATTTGGGGCTGGGAAGGTGGCTCAGTGGTAGAGTGTTTGCCTTGCATGCATGAGGCCCTGGGTTCGATTCCTCAGCACCATATAAGCAGAAAAAGCCGGAAGTGGCGCTGTGGCTCAAGTGGTAGAGTGCTAGCCTTGAGCTGAAGAGCTGAGGGACAGCGCCCAGGCCCAGAGTTCAGGCCCCACGACCAAAAAAACAAAAGAAAAAAAAAGAAAAAAAAAGGAATGAGGGTGTTTGTACAAACCTGGGGACTCAAGTTCAGCTCAGGGTGGAAGATTGGATCTCCCAGGCTTGGAAGATGCTGTGTTCCAAATTTGAGAAGGATCTGCCAGGCCTTGTGTCCCCCAGCTCCATAAATGTGCTCGGCTGGGGTGTCGCTTTAGCTGGTTGAGCCAGTGACTCCATCCCGTTAGCCACATCGCCAGATTGCAAACGAATCAACTTGTCCCTCAGCTGGTGCCTCTTTTCTCTCCCCTCGCGGTTTGGCTCCCCTCCTACTAGTCCTTAGTTTCTCCACTTCCCATTGCAGCCCGGCAGAGCTGGACCCCCTTGAGCCCTGCATGGTTCGAGCCGCGCTCCGAGGTCCTGCGCCAGGCCGTGCTGCTGTGTTCCTCAAGTACGCGAGGCCCCAGCACCAGGGCACCAGCCTCACCGCCGCCCGACTCCTCCGGGGTCTCCAGCCTGCGGCTCCCAGAACACCGTGAAACGCGACCAACCAACCAGAAACCCAATGCGTGCGCCTCCCTCCCGTCTGGAAGAGGTTTATTTTATTCTGAGCGCTCTCTGTTCTCATTGGTGACGTCGTAGTCCCGCTCTCGGTTTTGATTGGTCCTTTCCTAAGCCTCTCATCTCTCTGATTGGATATTCTTACCAAGGCCATTTATTAAGGTGATGAGGGAAATTTAAAACTCTTCCAAGAGGGGGCGCTGGCGGACTTCCCCAGCATGGCTCGTCAAGATGCATGAGAAATTTCAAAGGATGGGAATTGTGGGGAAGTCAGGGGTCCCCGCTGAGTTATGAGGAATGCTAGCTTAACCTTGCCAGCTTTTCTGATTTTACTCAGGCAAATCTGAAGGTCTGCAATTTCGTAAACACTGTATTAATACTTCAACTAATTCAATATTTTTAATGATTGCACAAGATCATCAGTTTGTAAATCTTTGATAGGGAGTTCAATAAATGAAGTTTGATGTACTTAACTCCTGAAGTGCCACAATGACAATAAGTATACCAGCAACCTCATGGTGGTGGAGAGGGTGTAGTTTTTATTTTATTATCCTTTTTGTTATTTGGATAAATTTGTTGTGAAGGGGAGGGTTTTGCTGTGACATTTCCATACATACATATGGAAGTTGGCTCAGTGGTAGAGTGCTTGCCTCCCATGCATGAGGCCCTGGGTTCAATTCCTCAGCACCACATAAGCAGAAAAAAGCCAGAAGTGGCGCTGTGGCTCAAGTGGTAGAGTGCTAGCCTTGAGCTAAAGAGCTGAGGGACAGAGCCCAGGCCCAGAGTTCAGACCCCACAACCAGACCCTCCCCCCAAAAAAATACAATGTATGATCAAACTTTTTATTGTCTTTCCCTCAAAGGTGTGATTTAATATGCTTATAAAATTTTAAGACAACACTGACACCTAGTAGGTGTAAAAAATCATCCAATAGGACTGTGAGTGAGGTACAGTTGTCCTTGTTCACACGGTGCTCCAGAATCTTATCATTCACTAGGTTAAAAGAACAATGATTGCTGATTGCCACTGGTTCATGTTTATAATCCCAGCTACTCAACATCGCCAAAATAACCAGAAAAAGTAAGGCTGGAGGTGTGGTTCAAATGGTAGAGTACCAGTCTAGCAAACAAGTTGAGAGAGTACAAAGCCCTGAGTTCAAGCCATAGTACTAACCTACTTTTTTTTTTTTTATGGATTTTCACTTATTTTTTCCTCAGTAGATTTCTTGTTTGCTTTTTCTTTTTTTTTTTCTTGCTTGTTGTTGTTGTTTTTTTTCTTCTTTTTTTGAGGTTTTGCTATGTATCTAGCCTGGTTTTGAACTTGATATCCTTCTGCTTCAGCCTCTAGAGTGCTAGAATTACAACCACACCCAGCCTATAGTGTTCATTAAGAAAACAAACTCCAGCTGGGCACTGGTGGCTCACACCTGTAATCCTAGCTACTGTAGAAGATGAGAATCCTGGTTCAAAGCCAGCCCAGGCAGGAAAGTCCATGAGACTTTTTTTGTTGTTGTTTTTGTCTGTCATGGGGCCTGAACTCTGGACCTGGGCACTGTCCCTCAGCTCTTCAGATCAAGGCTAGTGCTCTAGCACTTGAGCCACAGCGCCACTTCCAGCTTTTTCTTCTTATATGGTGCTGAGGAATCGACCCCAGGGCCTCATGCATGCAAGGCAAGCGCTCTACCACTGAGCCACCTTCCCAGCCCCTCCATGAGACTCTTATCTCCAATTAACCACCAGAAAACCAGAAGTGGCGCTGTGGCTCAAGTGGTAGAGGGCTTGCCTTGAGCTGAAGAGCTGAGGGACAGTGCCCAGGCCCAGAGTTCAAGCCCCATGACCAAAAAGAAAAGAAAAAAAGAAACTAATCTTCAGCACTACTGAGGTTATGAAGGTGAATGCAGCGTTTGGGAATTCAAACTCAGGAATAAGGGGTTTGAAGTTGGACCCTACGGATGAGGGAGAGAGTCATACTTTTTCTTTCTTTCATTCTTTGTTATTGTTGTTGTTGTTGTTGTTTTTAGTGGTGGTGGTGGTCGTGGGGCTTGAACTCTGGATCTGGGAGCTGTCCATGAACTCTTCAGCTCAAGGCAAGCACTCCACCACTTGAGCCACAGCATCACTTCTGGTTTTCTGGTGGTTAATTGGAGATAAGACTCTCACAGACATTCCTGCCAGGGCTGGCTTTGAACTGCAATCCTCAGATCTCAGTCTCCTGAGTAGCTAGGATTACAGGCGTGAGCCACTGGTGCCTAGTGAGTCATACTTCTTTTTGGCAGTACTGGGGTTTGAACCGAGGGCCTTGTGTTTCTAGGCAGGAGGTCTACCACTTGAGCTATGCTCCTCCCCACTCTTTTTTGGGTTAGTTATTTTTCAGGGAGAGTCTTCCTCCCCTACCCCAGGGCACACCTCAGCCCAAGATCCTCCTACCTATGCATTTGGAGTGGCTGGGATTTCAATCATGCACCCCTTGCACTGCTTGTTTGTTGCAGTGGGGTCCCCTTAAGTTTTGTTCTGGGTTGATGACATTTCCTCATTTGGATATCTTTTTTTTTTTTTTTAATTATTGTGCTGCTAACTCTGATTCTCCCACTGTGTCATAAGCTTCATGAGGGCAATAAGATCTCTCCTGATTGCAGAGTCACCCCCCTCCTCCAGGATGCTTTCCCTTACCCCTTCTGCCAGGGGCTTCCTTTGGATACTTCCAGAACAGAGCTGGGCACAGAGATCAGTGATAATTTGTTGCCTACATAAAAAGGAAACATACCCAAAGTAGATACTGTTTCATGTTGCTGGATACCGAGTTCTAGGGTAATTTCAGTGACCGGTCCAAGTCATATCCAAGCGAGAAAGTAACATTTTATTTGGGTAATATAAATGTGTGGGGCTTGAGCTCATATCCTGTCTCATCCAAAGTACCAAATAGCTAGCGGGCTAAACCCAGCCTTCCTGCTCCTTTCCCTGGGCTCATCCTTTTCTTCCAAAAACCTTGGGACGTAGGGGAGTGGAGAGCAGACAGGAGGGTGGGGATGGTCAGGGGAGTGGGAACGAGGGAGAGGCGGCTAGAGGACCACGACAGGGGCAGACTGGAAGGTGAGCGAGGTGGGGGAGTCTTTTCTCTAGACCCATAGGGGGCAGCCAGAGTCGGCAGCCGGGAGGTGCGGGGGCGGAGAAAGGGTGGGGACCGGCCCCGCGGGGGGCGATGCGGTAGCTGCAGCGGCGGCCGCAGGAGTTTCCCACAATGCAGCGCGGCGCGCTGTCCCCGGTGCTGATGCTCAGCGCTGCCCCGGAGCCTCCACCGCGCCCGCCTCCCGCCCTCTCCCCGCCGGGCCCCGGCCCAGGTCCCCGCCATGGCTCAGCTCGGCCAGGTCCGGCCCCAGAACCGTCGGGGGGCCTGGCTGCGGCGCTTGACAGCAGCCTACGGGCCGCCGTGGCGTTCAAGGCAGAGGGCCAGCGCTGCTACCGGGAGAAGAAGTTCCGGGAAGCCATCGGCAAGTATCACCGGGCACTGCTGCAGCTGAAGGCGGCGCAGGGGGCTCGCCCTGGCCTGCCCGCCCCGGCCCCTGGGCCGGCCGCAGGCCCAGGGCCCGCCCGCCTCAGCGAGGAGCAGCGGCGCCTGGTGGAGAGCACCGAGGTGGAGTGTTATGACTCCCTCACGGGTACGGCCGGCCGTCGGTGGGGTGGCAGGGGGCATGGGGGGGGGCATGCGTGGACAGGGTGGGGCGTCAGGGGGCGACCAGGGTCAGGTGTTGGGTGGGTGGAGAACCTGGAATCTTAAAGCGACAGACCTCAGAACTTGATCAAGGAAAGGGATGGGGGGCAGACAGGGATGCAGGAACTGGGGTTGGGGCTGAATCTTGAGAACTCCACTTCCCTGAGTCATCCTTCCCCTCCCTGCCTCGGGCACACGGAAGGCGGCAAGGGCGCACCCCGGACATGCCCTCGCCCTCAGCCTCGCCCACCCCTCCCCGGGGTCTCCTGCGCCTCCTGGCTGGGCACAGCTTGACTCTCCTCGGATGGGGTAACAGGTTGGCGCCCCCTGGAGGCCCACACTGTCCTTGGCTGGGGGGCAGAGGCCGGGTACTTCCAGGTCACGTGGATTCCAGGGGTGCTGCAGGCACTGAGATCGGGGCTCACCACCACCAAGCCTCCTCCCCTGGCCCCCTCAGCCTGCCTGCTGCAGTCAGAGCTGGTGAACTACGAGCGTGTGCGTGAGTACTGTCTGAAGGTGCTGGAGAAGCAGCAGGGCAACTTCAAGGCCACCTACCGCGCCGGCATCGCCTTCTACCACCTGGGCGACTACGCACGCGCCCTGCGCTACCTGCAGGAGGCCCGAAGCCGGGAGCCCACAGGTGAGGGCCAGAGCTGGGCAGGGGTGAGGGCTAGGTTGGGGGGGGCCGGGAGAGGGAAGGCAGGCAGGAGGTTCAGGGCAGGGCCTAGACAGACATTGTGCCATCCTGACACCTCCCCTTCCCCAGCCGGCCACAACCCTAGGCACGAGCGATCTCCAGCCCTGTTCCTCCCCCTCCCCCCCACGCCTCACACGCTGCTACCCGCTCACACTTGCGCCTACTCACTGACCCAGGGCAGGTGAGGCCGAGAAATTGGGCTGTGTAGGGAGTGGCAGAGCTGGAGTGTGGGCCTTCGGGGGGGAGGGGGGGAGCCACAGCAGGTGCATGCTGCAGGGGCGTGGGCGTGGAGGCAAGAAGAGTTTTCCTGGGAAGTGGCGTGGTGAGAACAGATGCCACGGGGAGGAGCGCCAGCGAGCCGGGCGCCCGCCTCTGTGAAGGGCGTGGCTGGCAAGGGAACAGCACGTGCAGAGCCAGGGAGGCGGGAACTATTTCCCCCTCTGGGATTCTGGGAAAGGGCTGGGCAGGAGTGGGAGGTGAGGGTGGCTGTCACTCCCCCACCTCGCCCTCCCCTCCCCTCCCCTTCTCCCCTCCCCTCCCGGGGAGAGCCAGGTAATGCCCTGCCCACCTGCCCTGCAGACACCAACGTGCTCCGCTACATCCAGCTGACCCAGCTGAAGATGAACCGCTGTGGCCTCCAGCGGGAAGACAGCGGCCACGGCGCCGGGGCCTCGGCCCGGGATGTGGTGGGCTGAGGCTGCGTGGCCGTCTCCACCCCACTCCCCACATCGCCCTGTAGCTGCCCCCGGCCTCGGCGCGCGGGGTGCCGGTAAAGCCCTGTCACGGATGACCATGACTTTGTGTGGTGTTCTTGTGGGGACCCAGGTCTGGTTCTCAGCCCTAACCTGCGGCTCGGAGAGACACTGGGAAAGGGAGTGTGGGGTGTAGAGTGCCCCCTGGAGTCAAGGCTGCATCGGGACCTGGGTGGGAGAAAGACACAGAGCAGAGAGAGGTCGGGGGCAGGGGTTATCTTTAATGCTGTGTTTTGTGCCAAATCCCCCATGATGCCGTCCCTGAGAATCCCTGCCGACCCGCCCCCTACGGCAGGGTGGGCTCAGGGCTCCACCCCCCCGGGGTACGAAGGAATAAATTAAGTGTCTCCCCCCTCCTCCCTTCCCCAATAAATAGTGAGTATCCTGCCCAGGCCTCTCCCCGCCAGGGTGCGACAGGCTGCCGCGGGGCCTGGGGCGCTACATTCATGGCTGCCCGGGCGGGCGGTGGCGGGCAGGCCTCAGTGGGAGCCATAGGCCCCGCACAGGGGCACGGTGCTGTCCTGGCTCTGCCCCTCCATGTCCATGTCCAGCAGCGTGGGCTGCATGTTGGGGGGCCCAGGGCTCTCTGGAGTGTCTGGCCTGCTAGGAGGCGAGATACCAAGTGTCCGGCCAAAAGAGACCAGTTTCCAGGGGTCCAGGCGGGGGCGGCTGGCAGCTGGCCGGGGTCTCGGGGCAAAAGTCAGAGTGGTAGGACGGCCAGGGAACTCGGGGGGCCGGCGTCGGGTGGGGAACAGGGTCTGGGGGTCGGGCAGGCGGGGGAAGTCCAGGGGGTCTCGAGGGCCTGGGGAGAGAGGAAGGCGCGAGGTGAGTGGGGTGGGGGAGGGGCGTCCATGCCAGCATGTGGGAAGGACAAGAGGAATTCCTGGCTTCTGTGGATCTTGCTGATCCCACTGTCCCGCAGTGGACTCCCATCCCAGGGGCCACACCTGAACCCTGACCTAAGTCCCCACTACTCCCAACAGCTCTACACACCTTTGGAGGACAGGATTCACCCATTCGCCCCTCCCTCCCTCCCTCCATTTCTCAGAACTGGGATTTGAACTCAAAGCCTGCTGTTGGCAAGGCAGGCTCTCTACCACTTGACGCCTTTTTGCCTTAGTTATTTTCCAGTGTCTTAGGCTGGGCAGAGGGCCTTTAAACTGTGCCTCTCGGGTAACTGAGATTACAGAGGGGAGACACCAAGCACAACCTGGAGCAGGGTCCTCGGTGCAGCTCTTGAGTGAGCATCTTATCCTCCCTCCTACACGGGGCTGGGCTGGGGTTAGACAACGTGGCGGAGATCCCAGACACTGCCTTCTCTGAATGGGCAGAGCAGCGCCTCCCCGCGGGGAGGATTGGGTGACAGCGCTCTACACCCGGCCTGGCCCCAGAAGCAGTCGCGGCAAGCAAGCTTCAGCCCTACCACGTGTGGCTGGGCCCCCGACTCACCGGCCGCGCAGTGGCCCAGCGCTCCATCCGACGGCGTCCGCCGGTGCCCGCGGCTCACCGGGCGTGTGACGGTGACGTGGGTGGGCGTGAGCGACTGGCGTGGGTCCTTCTTGAAGCTCTCGAGCTCCAGGTCCAGCAGGGGGTTGCAGGCGGGCGCGGGCGGGGAGGGCGGTGGGGAGGGCGCGGCAGGCGCTGCCTCGTCGCTGTCCGAGCGCAGCAGGGAGCGCGTGGAGTTGCAGTCGGACACGGAGGACAGCGACACCAGGGTGGCGGAGGGCGCCAGGCCGGGGCCGGGGGGTGGCGTCCTCGTCGTGGCGGTGGCCCGGGGGGCGCCCGGGGGGGCTGAGGCCCCTGGGGAAGCGGCCGGCCGCGCGGGGGAAGAGGCCGTCCAGCCAGCGCCGCTGCTCCTCGCCATCGGCGGCCGCGCGCGCCTCGGCCAGGTCTGCGCCCAGGCCCACGGCGCCCAGCAGCGCGGCGCAGCCCAGCAGCGCCAGGTCGCAGCGTCGCCGCGCGCCGTGGGCCCGGGCCGTGGGCGCCCCGGGGGACGGGGACGGGGCGGGCTCGGGGGGCGGCACCGCCAGCGAGGACGCCGTGGGGGTGTAGGGGGAGGGTGGCACGCTGTTGCCTCCTTCGGCCTCTGCGAACTCCTCTGCAACCCGAGAAGGCCATCACTGGCTGCCCCCAGCCCAGGCACCCAAGCATACCCAGAGTGACCTCCAAACCTCACTAACCACCGTCCTCCCATCTTCCCAACTTTCTCCCCCCTCCAAAGTCTCGGGGTAGGGTGCTCCTTTGCGACCCCCACCCCCTGGGGACCAGGACCTCCCCCACCCAAGTATGCCCACCCGCCCTGGGTTCTGTCCTGGCCCCTCCCCAGCACCCCAACCTCTTACCCATCTCGTTGAGGCTGGCGAAGCCAGGGGCGATAGGGGTGTGCTTGGGGGATTTGCCTAGGTTGGGGGCACTTGATGACCACTGTTTGCTTCCTTCCCCCAGGGCCTTGAGCCTAAAGAGGGTACAGAGACATGAGGGGTGTCCGCCGTGGCAGGGCCTGGGAGGGCACGGGGTAGGGTGGGGGGCCCCACCGGCACCTCTCCTCTCCTCCAGCCCGCTCCTTCTGCAGGGTGGAACTGGGCCCCCATGTCCGGCCCTTCTTCTTGCCCCCGACCAGTTCTTCCTTCTTGGGGGGCCCACTGCGACCCCAGGTTCCACTGCCGCCGCCACCACAGTCCACAGGAGTCACTAGGGGAGAGAAGACGCGTGATTACTGGGTCTTGGGGACTCCATCTGTCCTGGCTGAGCTCTTGGTGTCCCTGCAGGAGGGACCCTCTGACGGTACACAGCAGGAGTCCAGGGGCCAGGCAGGGGTAGTATCCCCACTGTCTTCTTTCTCCCCTTCTGTCTGATCATGACTAGAAATTATCCAGCCTAAGCTGGGCACCGGTGGCTCATGCCTGTAACCCCAGCTACTCAGGAGGCTGAGAACTGAGGATTCAGTTCAAAGCCAGCCCAGGCAAGCAAAGTCCGTGAGACTCTTATCTCCAATAAACCACTCGGAAAACTGGAAGTGGCGCTGTGGCTCAAGTGGTAGAGCGCTAGCCTTGAGCTGAAGAGCCGAGGGACAGCGCCCAGGCCCAGAGTTCAGGCCCCACAACTGACAAAAAGAAAAAAAAGAACAGAAAAGAAAAAAGAAAAATTTCCAGCCTACAGATTTATATGTGCTCCCCAAGAATGAGGGAAGGAAGGGGCGGGCCTGTCTTGGTCCTTGTTGATTGACTGACTGCTGAGGACTCCACAGGTACTCACAGCGAATGGCGCGCAGGCGGGGGATGATGCTGGGGCTGGCAGGGGGGCTGTTCCCATCTGAGCCTTTCCGTTTGTCCAGGGTTGGTGAGGCCTGCACTGTGATCTTATGCTCAAACCCTGCAAGGAGGAAGAGACTTTGCCAAGCCAGTCCCTGTGTGGCGAGCAACTGGTACAGGGGAATGGCGGCCTGGATCGCTACCCGGATCACTGGAGCCAGTGCAGTCCCAAGTTCATGGCATGGGCACCAGCTGCAACTCTCTTAGAAGTGCAATCCATGATTTAGCAGATGTAAGGCATAGGTCTACAATCTAGCCAGGCGTCACTGAGGAGCTAGGCCTGGGTGTCCAACGTGGTAGCCATGAGCCTGGCTCTGAAATGGGAGTGGCGCAACACAGGCCATGGATGGGCCTTCCATCCTGCCTTGTGTAATTATAACTACATCTAAACTCTAAACAATCTGGTCACTGGAGACCTTCAAGCGTGTTTGGAGAACCTGGGCATATGAACCTGTTCCCCCTCTCCCTCAGATATAAATTGGTGAGATCTACAAATAGACCTTTACAAATTCCTTTTGTGCAGAGCTGAGGAGCAAACCCAGGGCCTCCTGCATGCGAGACAAGTGTTCTACCACTATACCACAGACGCAGCTCCAGATTAAATTTTTTCCTAAAAAAACGGTTTTACTTTGGCAGTATTGAACTCAAAAGTTTCCTACTTGCTGCCGGGCGCTGGTGGCTCACGCCTGTAATCCTAGCTACTCAGGAGGCTGAGATCTGAGGATCGCGGTTCAAAGCCAGCCCGAGCAGGAGAGACCATGAGACTCCTATCTCCAATAAACCACCAGAAAACCGGAAGTGGTGCTGTAGCTCAAGTGGTAGAGCGCTCGCCTTGAGCTGAAGAGCTGAGGGACAGCGCCCAGGCCCAGAGTTCAAGCCCCACGGCCGACAAAAAAAAAAAAAAGTTTCCTACTTGCTAAAACAAGCTCTCCACCACTCCAACTATGCCCGCCCACCCCCCACCTTCCAGCCCCCCCCCTCCCCCACACACACACCAGCACTTTTGTTCTAGCTTTCTTTTCAGATAGGATCTTGTGCTTTTGCCCTGGCGGGCCTTGGACTGCAATCCTCCTACCTCCATCACCCCAGTAGCTGGGATTACAGGTATATCCTACCATGCCCTACCTAAACATCTGTTTTCTAAGTAAGAAATGGCTGAGTATCAGCAATTTCACCTGAGGTACCCTCACAGCAATCTCTAGGAAATTCAAGGGACAGGGAGACATGCTAACAGTGACCAACAGCTGTGGAAAAATACAGGATAATGGATGATGTATGTCTAAGAAATGATTGGCAGGAAATAGAGGTATGGCTCAACTGGTAGAACACCAACCTTGAGTAACAAAGCTAAGCAAGATCTTAAGGCCCTGAGTTCAAACCCCAGTATCTAAACACACACACACACACACACACACACACACACACACACACACACACACACACACACACACACACACACACACACACACACACACACACACACACACACACACACACACACACACACACGGTGGTACCGGAGGGCAGGCTGATGTGGCTGCCGCCTTCCCGCAGCTTGAGCAGCCGGCTGCGCTTGAAGTTGCCCCTCCGCTTGCGGACCCTGGGCTTCTCCTGGCTCAGCTGGCACATGAGCAGGTGCAGCTCCCGCTCCACGATGTCCATCTCGCGCTCGGCCAGCTCCTGCTCGCGCCTCCGCAGCTGTTCCTCCTGGAAGCGCTGCTCCTGTGCAGCCCGCAGCAGCTCCTCCTCCCGGCTGCGGAGCTCCTGGAGTGGGATGGGGCAGGGCGGGTGGGCTTAGCCTCTCTGCACCCCGAGACAGGGTGATCTTGGAGCTGCTGGGTATGGTTGGCACCCTGCACTTGGGCATCTACTGTAGGACACACAGGGTTCGCAGCTCCAGCTCAAGCATCACTAGCTTTAGATCTAGTAGGAGAGCTGAGGTAGCCCAAGGAGGAAGGGTCCCTTTTCTTTTTTTATCTTATAACTCTGCAATGTATTATGTGGTTACTTGTTTGTTCATTGGGGCTTGAACTCAGGGACTGGGTGCTGTCCCTGAGCTCTTTTGCTCAAGGCTAATACTCCACCACTTTGAGCCACAGCACCACTTCTAGCTTTTTCTGTGATTAATTGAAGGTAAGAGTATCACAGACTTTCCTGCCCAGGCTGGCTTTGAACTGTGATCCTCAGATCCCAGTCTCCTTAGTAGTTAGCCTTACAAGCATGAGCCACCAGTGCCTGGCTTAATTCTGAAATTTAGAAAACTTCCAACATCTACAAAGACCAAATAGTGCACATAGTGCACTTATCCACAGTATACACATCCATTGTTAAATCACAACTATCTACACTTTACAAATCTCCTGTCCCCTTCCTGCCCTTATCTTTGCCCTCCTTGCATTTTATTGCTGATATTTATTTAATGATTTAGCTTTGTCCTGAGGCTTGAACACAGGGCTTTGGAGCAGTTCCTTGGCTTTCTTGCTCAAGGCTGGTGCTCTACCCCCTTAGCCACAGCTTCATTAGCTTTTTGATGATTCAATGGAGATAAGAGTCTCACAGACTTTCCTGCCCCAGCTGACTTTGAACCTTGATCCTCAGCCTCCTGAGTAACTAGGATTACAGGCATGAGCCACCAGTACCAGCCTGCTGTAGTATTTTGTTGTTGTTGTTGTTGTTGTTGTTTTGGGTCCTGTTGTGGGGCCTGAACTCTGGGCCTGGGCGCTGTCCCTCAGCTCTTCAGCTCAAGGCTAGCACTCTACCACTTGAGCCATAGCACCATTTCTGGCTTTTTTCTTTTTCGTATGTGGTGCTGAGGAATCGAACCCAGGGCCTCAGGCATGCAAGGCAAGCGCTCTACCACTGAGCCACCTTCCCAGCCCCCTGCTGTAGTATTTTAAGGGCAATCCCAGACACACAGGTATCTGTATGTGTACCCAGCCAGGGCACTTGTTCTTTTTTTTGTCAGTCGTGGGGCTTGAACTCTGGGCCTGGGCGCTGTCCCTGAGCTCTTCAGCCCAAGGCTAGCGCTCTACCACTAGAGCCACAGCACCACTTCCGGTTTTCTGGTGGTTAATTGGAGATAAGAGTCTCATGGACTTTTCTACTCTGGATGGCTTTGAACCACGACCCTCAGATCTCAGCCTCCTGAGTAGCTAGGATGACAGGCGTGAGCCATGGGCACCCTGTGCCTTGTTCTTACTGTCTTTTCTGAATGTGCAAAAAGATCCTGCTGAACCTGCAGGCTGGGGCCCATGAGGTGGGGTTCTGAGCCTCCCAAGGCCCCCACATCAGGGCTCCCGTTCCATCCCCCGCCCCCCATCCCGCATTCACCTTCTCCTTGGTCCGAAGGTCATCGAACATGTGCTGAATCTCCAGCTTCCAGTCTTCCTGCAGCGAGTGGAAGGACTCGAGTGGCATCTGGAACAGGGCTGACTGCTCGATCACTTCCAGCCGCTTCAAGATGCTGCCGAAATCTGGCCGCCCATGTGGGTCAGGGTCCCAGCATTCTGGGGTGGGAAGGGAAGTGATGGGGGGGGGGGGGAATCATCCTGAATGAGGCAGGCAGGGCATCTGGGGACAGCTTGGCACAGTGAAAGGCAGGGAGGGAGCTGCCCAGAGTCAACTGGGTTCCAGCACCTTCTGGGCCCCCACTCCATGATAGTGAGAAGGGGAGAGGTCAGGCCTAAGATCCCCTGCCCCCCCTAAGCAAAGCCTACCCTCCCCACGGGTCCTGGCTCACCCTCCAGGAGGCGGGCAAAGGGCTCGGGGCACGTGGAAGGGATGGGCAGGGTCAGCTTGTTCATGGCCACGCCGTATGCCACAGCCAGGGCATCGATTTCTCGGTAGGGGACCTCACCGGTCAGCAACTCCCACAGCAGCACCCCGAAGCTGCAGGGAGGGAGAGGATGGAATGATAGCACAGCCACCCCAGATCCTCACCCAATGCCCCAGTCCTGCGCCCAGCGTGACCACCCGAATCCTATCTGACCTCTGAGACCCGCTTCTCCAATGAACAAGATGGGCCAGCCAGCCATCTGCTCTTGCCCTTCCCTGGCCCCAGGGTGAACACCTTCAGTAGGACGCCCCCACCCATGCCTACTGGGCAGATCCATCCTTCTGAGCCCCAACTTTTCTAAACACTCAGTCCCCAGCCCAGCCCGGCTTCATCCTGCAGTCACACAGAACAGTAAGATCCCTGTTCTCAGCCCTGGCCTTTGCACGTGCCGTTCGTTCCTTTGATGAAAGCACCCCTTCCTTGGTGTATCTCAGCTCACATTGCCTCCTCTTCCAGGAAGCCTTCCTTGACTCCACAGCCAGACAAGAGAAGAGGACTTTCTTCTGTATGTCCGCAGGACCCACAGCCCTTACCTCTAAAAAAGTTAACACTATCTTTCACTGAGGAAGCTTTTTTTGGGGGGGGGTTCAGTCATGGGCCTGAACTCTGGGCCTGGGTGCTGTCCCTCAGCTCTTCACCTCAAGGCTAGCGCTCTACCACTTGAGCCACAGCTCCACTTCCGGCTTTTTTCTTTTTTTTTTGGGGGGGGGGTCCGGTCGTGGGGCCTGAACTCTGGGCCTGGGTGCTGCCCCTCAGCTCTTCAGCTCAAGGCTAGCGGTCTACCACTTGAGCCACAGCACCACTTCTGGCTTTTTTCTTTTTGCTTATGTGGTACTGAGGAATTGAATCCAGGGCCTCAGGCATGCAAGGCAAGGGCTCTGCCACTGAGCCACCTTCCCAGCCCCCACTGAGGAAATATTTATTCCAGGCCAGGCACTGTGCCAGGCACGCCGGGTAATCCTCACTACAGCCTGTGAGGCAGAAGGTATTGGTATGATGCCCGTGTTTTGGGGGGAACAGGCACAGGCTCAGAGAGCACAAGCTGCCCACTCAAGGCCACACAGCCGTCAAGTGGTGGAGTCACACTTGGGTTTACCTCTGGCTGACGCCCACCATGCTCAACTCAACAGCTGGCAATCCCAGAGTGTGGAGAACTCACTGTGCGACTGCCATGGGTGTGTCCCCCTTCATCCGGATTCTGGGCACCCGCTGGGCCCTGATCACCACTCCCTAATGTGTGCTACATCCTTGTTCCCTCCCACAAGCCACACGTGCATTCATTTGGCACCTACTGTGCCCAAGGCACTGTTGTTCTAGGCACCAAAACCAGATGGGCAGAGCTGCAGCTCCTGTCTGCTTCAGTGACAGCACTGGCGAATTTGAGCTGGGTGTAAGCTGCTTGAAATGATTTCCCATCCTCCTCTGGGGCCAAGGATGCCCAAAGGACTATGGTTCTGGCGGGTGGGATGAAGGAGGGTATAGAAATGTCCTAAAAGAGAAGAGGTGTGCCCCTTTCCCCTTTCCTAGCAGTTAGAATGTAGACATAAAAGCTGGGGCTGGCTGGGTGCTGGTGGCTCACGCCTGCCATCCTAGCTACTCAGGAGATTGAGATATGAGGGTCACGGTTCAAAGCCACCCTGGGCAGGAACGTCCCTGTGAGCCTCTAATCTCCAATTGACCACCAGAAAACCAGAAGTGGTGCTGTGGCTCAAGTGGTAGGGCATTTGCCTTGAGCTGAAGAGCTCAGAGACAGTGCCCAGGCCCAGAGTTCAAACCCCATGACCAATAAAAAAAGCTGGGGCTGAAGTAGCCCTCTCAGGTCATGAGGCAAGCTTGGGAATGGAGGGCAAGGTAGAGGAAAGTAACAGAGGTTTTCTCCTGGAGGTGGCAGAAGCCCCCTCATTGCTTGCTCCCTTGTGCCTGCACACCTCTGGGGATGTTTTTCACAGCCTCAGTGACAGAGGCATGTGGCTGATGTTTGGTGGCTGGGGGCAATGGCTATTTACTGTCCTGAAAAGTACAGGACAGGGCCATGCAAAGGAGGGTCACTCTGCCCCACACCACCAACGCTCAGATGAGGAGCCCAGCATAGGATCATCCGTCATGCTGGGCCATTGTCAGCCAGTTAGTCCTGGGCTTTACATGAAGTACAAACTTTGTGTGTGTGTGTGTGTGTGTGGTGCACGTGCACACGCGCGCACACATACAATTTAGTATGTGAGTTTGAACTCAGATCCTTGCACTGGGTAAGCAAGCACTCTACCACTTGGGCCACACCTTTAGCCCCTTTGGTCTTTTTATTTGGGGTTTCTTTTTTTCATTTTTTGCCAGTCCTGGGGCTTGAACTCAGGGCCTGGGCACTGTTCCTGGGCTGCTTTTGCTCTCTACCACTTGAGCCACACCACCTCTTCCAGACTTTTCTGTTTATGAGGAATCAAATCCAAGGCTTCATGCATGCTAGGCAAGCACTCTACCACCGAGCCACCTTCCCAGCCCCATATTTGGGGTTTCTGTTCCTCCCTGCTGTGATGGATGTTGGGTGCCATTATGAATTCCTGACGTGAGGCCACAGGTGTCCAGAAGCCGCCCTGCTCTAAGGAAGCGGGAGAATCCTGCATTTGCTGTCCTGGCCATCAGTGACCCTGGGAACTGGTGGAACAGCAAATGGGCGACCTAGAGGCCCATGGTAGACAAGTTTCTATTGCTATCACCCATGCTCACTGCCATGGCCTCGTCAGCCTCCTGTCACCACCACTGTCCCCTAAGATCCGGTGGTCACCCCATAGCCAAGGAAGCTTTTAACATGCTGGGTCAGATGGCGCTGCTCACAGGAGTGTCCGAGGGGGGCTAATGGCTGCATTGCACTGAGTAAACCAGGGGTGCTGAGCCTTGCAGCTCTCAGCCACATTTCCTGTCCTGCTCCAGCCACACCTTCTGGAACATACCATGCTCCTTGGTGGTGCTCACATTATGAATAGACCCAAAGCCACCCTTTCTCAGAATGGCCTTCACCAGCCATCTACTCCTCGTTCTGTATGCCAATACCCTCTGTCTTTTTTTGTTGTTGTTGATTGTGGGGCCTGAACTCTGGGCCTGGGCGCTGTCCCTCAGCTCTTCAGCTCAAGGCTAGCACTCTACCACTTGAGCCACAGCACCACTTCCGGCTTTTTCTGCTTATGTGATACTGAGAAAGCGAACCCAGGGCTTCATGCATGCACAGCAAGCGCTCTACCACTGAACCACCTTCCCAGCCCTTCCCCCCACCCCCATCTATCTTTACAACTATCTTACATGCTTCCAAACTTCAAAACCTTTCTTCTCTTAGTGGATTTTGTGTGTGTGTGTGTGTGTGTGTGTGTATGCGCGTGCACGCTAGTCTTGGAGCTTGAACTCAGGGCTCTGTCCCAGAACTTTTTTGCTCAAGTTATGAGTCTCATGGGCTTTTTCTGCCTCAACTGGCTCTGAACCATGATCCTTAGATCTCAGCCTCCTGAGTAGCTGGGATCACAGGCATAAACCACCTGCACCTAGCTGGGGACTTTCTTTTTTTCATTCTATTCAAGTCCCTTCTTGGGGCCACCTCTGTCACAGAGCAGGTAACTGTGTGAGCCTGTCAGTACAGGGTGCTGGAGACACATTCTACCCCCTCCATTCTCTCCCCTGGTCCTGAGGCCCCCTCAAGCCCTCCCCCTCCTCCTCCCAGCTCAGTACCTCCAGACATCGCTGCTTTTGGAGAAGAGGGAAAGGCGGATGACCTCGGGTGCCATCCAGGCGTAGGTCCCGGCGGCACTCATTTTCGTGGTCTTGTGCCACTCTCGGGCGAGGCCAAAATCCGTGATCTTGAGCACCGTGTCTGCGAGGTTGTGGTTCTCAATGGCCTCCAGGATCAGGACTGGGGACGGGAGTAATAGAAGAAAGTCAGAGTCACCAGACCTGTGGGGACCGTGGGCCAACCTGCCTTGCTGGCACCAAGCCCCACTCTGCACAGCATCTTCCTGGCCCCAAACCCCACAAATCTCTCCACATGCTTTATCCAAGTTCCCTGAGTACTCTGTCCTCTGCCTGGAGTCTGGGAAACTCAATGAATGGCCAAGAACAAGGGACCAGCAAACCAGAAGGGAAGAATGATTCTCCATTTTAGCCCTATGGTCTTCTAGAGTCCCCGGGGGCCCCAGTGCTACTTCTTCCTGTGTGCCCACTCTGCCAAGTGATTTTTCTTTTTTGGGTCCGGTCATGGGGCCTGAACTCTGGGCCTGGGCGCTGTCCCTCAGCTCTTCAGCTCAAGAAGAGCGCTCTACCACTTGAGCCACAGCGCCACTTCCGGCTTTTTTCTTTTTGCTTATGTGGTGCTGAGGAATTGAACCCAGGGCCTCAGGAATGCAAGGCAAGCGCTCTACCACTGAGCCACCTTCCCAGCCCCGATTCTACAGCTCTTTCTCCATCTTTTAGCTTTAAACCAGGTAGGATGGGATCTTAAGAGTCTTTGAGTGTCTATTTGACATCTAGAGCTTTTGCTGTTGCCATAACAACATGCCCTGGTCCAAAGATGGGAGATACTGGGTCAAAGCCTCTCTGCTTTACTGCTGCTCCAAGTATACAGGCAGTAGCAAGCAATTATGTTAAGATAGTTTGTTTTTTGGGGGGTGGTTTTGTTACACAGCATCACTGTGACCAAATCTGACTGATCCATCCACACATATTCAATGTTTACAGCTGATCTAGTCTTTCACAAGAATGGACTTGTAAGCAATATGCTCTTACTGACACTCAGAGAAGTTATTTGATCAAAAGCATATGGCTGACTAGAAAATAGCTGGACACAAGCTACTGCTGTTATCAGACTCTGTCTTTCTGCTACAATATTTGACTATTTTCCCCCTCAGAGTGCAGTTCAATGCCTTGTTTTGAATCTCAGCTCTGCTACTTTGATCTTTTGTGTGTGCTAGTCCTGTGGCTTGAACTCAGGGCCTTGCATTCTTGCTTGGCATTTTTGCTCAAGATTGGCACTCTACCACTTGAATGACAGCTCTATTTCCAGCTTTTTTGGTGGCTCATTGGAGATAAGTGTCTCATGGACTTTTCTGCCTGTGCTGGCTTTGAGCCATAATCCTTAGACTTCAGCCTCCTGAGAAGCTAGGATTACAGGCTTTGGCAGCTGGCTTGGGCTCTGCCACTTATTAGCTTTATAACAATGTATCATTTACCTCACCTTCTTGGAGCCATGATTTCTCCTGTGTTAAACAGGATGACAACCGCAGATCCTATCTAGGATTATAAAGGTTTATTGCCTGAAACTAAGTGTGTTCCTGATGGCTCTGGTTACTAGCCTGTGATGGCCTCAAACTGTTCCTTGTTTTTCCACCTTCTCTACGTCTCTGTCAATTTCCCCAAGTGTGACAAGCATGAGGTTATTCTGTCATGCCTATGGGGCAAATCAAGGAACTGAAGACCAGAGGGACCAGCACACTGCCCACACACTGCCATCTCCGTCTAGAAGCCTCCTGTGAAGTCTCGGCATGTGACTATCTCCCCAGGCATTCTCCCTTCTTAGGTCTCCGTCACCTCCCTGCCGTATAAACGTTGTGGCAGATGGAGCTTGCCTTGGCCTTATGCTTTATTTCTGCATCTCCCAAGCTGGGTCTACATCAATCCCCTTTGAAAATCTTATTGCGGCCATGTCATCCCCTGGTCGAAACCTCTACTAGTGCTCATACCATCAGTGGAAACACTTGAGGTGCTCTGTATGGCCTCAGAGTCCTGAGAGCTAGCCCCTGCCCACCTTTCCCATCTCATCTCCTCCCCTCCAGAGGTTCTGGTCTTATGCTTCTCGCCGAGGTCAAGCTCATCCACCTCAGGACCCTTGCCCAGAGTTCTCCTGACCCATAGTCTTCTCTTTGTGAATCTCTGCTCCAACATTGCCTTCCCTGATCAGCAGATCCAAACCATTCTCTCTGTCCCACCCTTAGCCCACCTTATTTCCAAGAACTCCTGGTCCCTCTGAAAGTCTGGCAATCTCCTTATCCATCCCTTCGTCTACCTACTTATTTGTCAGCAGATATCATCTAGTCCTCCTTACTAGCATGTAAATCTCATATGGAGAGGGGAGGGGGCCAATCTAGCCTTGCTCACTCCTGTAATCCCAGAGCTTAGGACAATGCTCTGTGCATGGGAACTACTGAACCCAAAGATGAAGGACACCAGATGAGGGGCTCCTTGGAGAAGGAGAAATGGATATACCATGCTACAGACACCCTGTTTCTGTCTCAGGTATGGAGGAAACCCTCTGTCTCAAGGGGAAACCCTAGTTAAGAACCCCATCTAGGGGCTGGGAAAGTGGCTCAGTGGTACAGCGCTTGCCTTGCATGCATGAAGCCCTGGGTTCGATTCCTCAGCATCACATAAGCAAAAAGAAAAAAAGTCGGAAGTAGCGCTGTGGCTCAAGTGGTGGAGCGCTAGCCTTGAGCTGAAGAGCTGAGGGACAGCGCCCAAGCCCAGAGTTCAGGCCCCATGACCGGACCCCCTCCAAAAAAAAAAAAAAAAAAAAAAAACCATCTAGCTGGGCACTGGTGGCTCATGCCTATAATCCTAGCTACTCAGGTGGCTAAGATCTGAGGATCACGGTTCAAAGCCAGCCTAGGGAGGAAAGTCCATGAGACTCTTATTTCCAATAAACCAGCAGGAAACCAGAAGTGGTGCTGTGGCTCCAGTGGTAGAGTGCTAGCCTTGAGCTGAAGAGCTGAGGGACAGCGCCCAGGCCCAGAGTTCAGAGCATTGTCCGAATCAGCAGGGGTGAGGAAGGACCAGTCCCAGCCTTCAGGAGAAGTCCACCAGCTGTTTCAGGGGAGTTGAAACGTGGGCCTCAATGAGGACAGGGCCCATCTACCTCTGCCTTGCTCAGTGCTCCAGTCTGGGCACAGGCCTGAGCATATATGGGCACCAAGTAGCTATCTGTGAGTATACACAAGCCGAAGCTGAAGTGAGGACCACTCTGACTTGTTCTAGGGGCTTGATTATAGTTGATGCAGCCTAGCAACACACGTTTAAAAAACAAAAACAGTGGACAATTTTGATTATGTCAAAGTGGCAAAAATTAGGGAACAGGATGAGTGCTGAGGGCAAAGAGGGACCCTGAGGTTTCTGGACCTGAGTGTGAATTGCATGAAAACAGGGGTCATGCTGGCCATTTACTGTGGACGCCTCTTTACTTAAGCACACCACCTGGCCTTGCAGATCCCCAGAGAAGGAATGAAGGCATGACTAAGGGAATGAAAGGGAGGGAGAGGGGCAGAACAAGTATGGGAGAGCTAGGAAGTGTACTCCTCTGCGTATGTAGCATATGGCACCCCAGAACTATCTGTGAAAAGAATGAATGAAATGTTAGGGCAGAAACCATGCCACCCCTGTGTGGCTACTAATTTAATCAATAATATTCACGGGCTGGGAAGGTGGCTCCGTGGTAGAGCGCTTGCCTTGCATGCCTGAGGCCCTGGGTTCAATTCCTCAGCACCACATAAGCAAAAAGAAAAAAGCCGGAAGTGGCGCTGTGGCTCAAGTGGTAGAGCGCTAGCCTTGAGCTAAAGAGCTGAGGGACAGCGCCCAGGCCCAGAGTTCAGGACCCACGACCGGACCCAAAAAATAAAAATAAAAATAAAAATAAAAAAAATAAATAATATTCACTAGTGTCCCCAAGTCACTCTGTGGCCCAGATGGGAGTCCTGGGGAACCTTCCCATCCACCTGGGATTCAAGCAACCAATCAATTTTGGGGGAACTTGTGACCAGCCAGGAAGCCTAGAAGCTTCTATATAAGCCACATCCAGTTTGCCTTGGAGGCCTGCCCAGAGGATTTTGGGAAGCCATTAACAACTGGTGAATTTGTCCCTGTGGGAACACGAGGCCATGTCTAGAGTCACTTTTGGTTTTCCTAGCTGGGAACAGAGTGGAGAATGCAGAGTATGTAGAGGCCAAGGATGCTGATGCGCACAGCCAGCAGTATCCATTGATGACAGTGGTGCCAGAGATGAGAAACCCTGTCTCCAGGTAAGCTAGGTTTGTTTGGTCCGTCTGGCACCATAACTGGATGGTGGGTATCATGAGGGCAGGCCATGTGCACGTCCTGTTTATGGCATGGAATGTAGGGCCTGTCACTGTGTGCATGAAGACATATTTATTGAGCTATTGTGACTGTATCCTGGGAGGCAGTCTGGTCTTCAACATTTTTTTTTTCACCTGTGTGTGTGGGGAGGTATTGGGACTTCAACGCTCACTTGGCTTTTTCACTCCAGCCAGGAGCTCTACCACTGGAGCCAGTTGGTTAACTGGAGATAAGAATTCATAGATGTTTTCTGTCTAGGCTGGCTTTGAACTTAGATCCTCAGATCTCAGCCTCCTGAGCAGCTAGGATTACAGGTGTGACCATCAACGCCAAAAGGGTCTCCAAACTTTCTGAGCCTCCTTAGAGGCAAGGCCGGCCTCACTTGGCCCTGAAGATCTACTGCTGCCCCTCTTTATCCCAAGCACAGTGCCACCTGGTGTCCCTGGTCCTATCTCCCATCACCTAGGCCTGGCCTTGGGAGGTTCTGTGGAAGGGAGTTTGGGGGGGAGGGGGAGGACACCACTTACTGTTGATGGACTTGAGGTCCCGGTGGATGATGGGCACAGGGGCATCATTGTGAAGATAGTTCATGCCCCGGGCCACCTGCACGGCCCAGTTGACCAGTACGTGAGGGGGCACCCGACGTCCTGCCAGCACCCTGCTGAGTGCACCTCCCCTGGCATATTCCATCACCAGGCAGAGATTTGGGGGGCTGAGGCAGGCACCCCTCAGGGCAATGATATTGGGATGCTGCAGGGCACCAAAAAGCCGGGCCTCCTGGCGCACTTGCTCCGCTGTCACTGCCGGGTCCCGCTCGGGGTCCAGCCGGGCGGCCTTGACGGCTACCTCCTCGCCTTGCCACAGGGCACGATAGACTTTGCCAAAGCCCCCGACGCCAATGATCTCCTCCAACTGCAGCTCATGGAAGGGGATCTCCTGGGGCAGCTGCAGACCCGCGGGCGCCGCAGGTGTGGCGGGGGCCACATAGTTGCTGGGGAAGACGCCCACGCGGCCGCTGGGCAGCTGGCCGGTCCACCAGCCTTCATCGCCAGACACCGCACAGTCTTGGGAAAGCACCTGCACGCGATCGCCCCTCCGCAGCGTCAGCTCCTCGTCGCCCACCGCCTCGTAGTCGAACACGGCGGTCCAGACGGGCCCCGCGGGGGTCGAACCCCACTCCTTGGCGGCCGCCCCCTCCTCCTCCTCCTCCTCCATGGGCGGGGGAGGGGCTGCAGGAGGCCGCTTCACACCGGGTGCCCGCGGGATGCTGAGGGCGGGCCCGGGCGGCCAGGGTGGGAGGCGGTCCCTGAGGGTCCACGGGCGCTCCTGGGGGCCATGGCGAGAGGGGGGAGGCCCTCTGGGGGAGCAGGCAAAGCCCGCCCTGTTTCAGGGCAGGGCTGTCCCCTCGGATTCGGCGGTCCCAGCCGGGCGGTGGGGGGGTGGGGAGGGGGGCGAGCCGCAGGTTCACCTGTTCCCACCCCCAGATGTCAGGGCGCTAAGAGGGCCCGGCCCACCCCAGCGTCTGGAATCTCGCCGTGCCCGCCGGTGGGGGCCGAGGGCGAGGGCAGCGGGCAGCCACTCCTCCCCGCGCCTCCCACCCCGCGCAGCTCCACCGGCGGCCCCCGGATTCCGCATCCCGGGCCACGACCGTAAGGGGCCGGGCAGGGATGGCGAGACCCGAGGGGAAGGGGCGGCCGCCCCAGGAAGGGGTGGCGCGCCCCTCGGCCTCCTCACGCGCCGGGTGGTCGAGTAGCTGCCATCTTCCGTACCGGGTTCCAGGTCGGCCCCAGACCCTGCCCCTCCCCCCCCGCCCGCCTGCCTGCCCGCCCGCCGCCCGCCGGCGCGCGCGCCTCTTCCCGGGGGCAGCTGGCAGTGCCGGAGTGACGTAACTGCAGCGCCCGCCGCGATGCCGCCTGGGAGTTGTAGTTCCGGGGGTGGGGAACCGTGAGGCTTCCAGGCAGTCTCTCAGTCCCCAGCTGTGAGCGGACCTACTCGTCCCCCCCCCCCCCCCCCCCCCGCATCCCACCCCCCAATCGCTCGCGGCTCTTCCCCAGGCTGCTGGAGGTGTCGGAATGACGTGACCGCCGCGCCGCCGCGATGCCGCCTGGGAGTTGTAGTTCCGTGGACCGTGCGGCCTCCGGTCTGTCTCCCGGACCCTCATTGTGAGCTGCCGGCTGAGATAGGACCCGATGGACGTCTCTGGGGGAGGAAAGCGAGGTGTCGGGTTCTCCTCCTGTATCTGGGGACGCCGAGAGGAAAGGACCAATGGTTCCCCACAGATAGTGAGGACCACATTCTGTGGGGAGAGAGGAGTGGGACCCCAAGATGGGGGTGGTGGATAACGCACGCGCTTAGGAAGCCGAAATCTAGGAGCTGAGTGAATGGACAATGCCGCCCCGAGCCCGAAACGCAGCTGGACCGGGGAGCTGGGTGACCCTCAGAGGCCCCCGCCCGAGGCGCACTCTGGGAAATGTAGTCCGTTCTGGGCCCGGCGCTGTGGGAGGCGGCGCCCTAAACTTTGAGGGAGCCGAGGGTGACGCCTGCGCGCCGGGCGCTGGGATTAAGCAAAGGTAAGCGAAGGAACACGGACCTACCCATAGTGTTTACTGTTCCTGGGAATGTCACCGCCGCCTCTGCTTGTCCCTCCAGCTTTGGGCGAGGGGACAGGAGGGAGTTTCCTCTGCCACTGCGGTTTGCGCTCTGCAGAATCTCCAACAACCCCTAATAGGAATTTCAGTTTGGGGGTCCTAAGTGTGCATCTATGCTAAATGCATCGCACAGACAGTATTGTTAAATCTTCACCGTTTCACAGATGACTCAGAGAAGCGAAGTCACTTTTACAATACAGAATTATAAATGACAAAGCAAGAGTCAAAGGCAGTTTTTAAAATTCAACCACCACCATGATTTGGGGTTGATAAGGGGAGGGATGGAAATTAAAAAAGACTGAGTAGCCTGGTGCCTGTGGTTCACATCTGTAATCCTAGCTGCTTAAGAGTCTGAGATCTGTAGGATCACAGGTCAAAGCCAGTCCAGGCAGAAAAATCTCATAAGACTCTTATCTCTGATGAACCACCAAAAAGCCACAAGTGGAGCTGTGGTTCAAGTGGTAGAGCACTAGCTAGCTTTGAGCAGAAAAAGTTCAGGGACAGCATCCAGGCTCTGAGTTCAGATTCCAGGACCAGCAAAAAGAAAGAAGAAGAGGAGGAGTAAAAGGAGGAGGAGGAAGAGAAATCAAGGTGGCAGTGAGAACATGTAGAGAGAGATGGGGTGTCGGAAAGAAGAAGAAGAAGAATTTTATGGCTGAGGATGTAACTCAGTGGCAGAATACTGGCTTAAGTATACATAAGGGGGGCTGGGAAGGTGGCTCAGTGGCAGAGTGCTTGCCTTGCATGCATGAGGACCTGGGTTCAATTCCTCAGCACCATAAGCAAAAAAGAAAAAAAGCTGGAAGTGGCACTGTGGCTCAGGTGGTAGAGCGCTAGACTTGAGCTGAAGAGCTGAGGGACAGCGCCCAGAGTTCAGGCCCCATGACCAGAACCAAAAAAAAAAAAGTATTCATAAGGCTCTGGGTTCAAACCACAGTAACAGAGGGGTGGAGGGAGGGAGAGAGATGACAGTTAAAGTAGAGACACCAGGGATGTGTGAGAAGAGAAAAGGCTATATGAGGACACCGTAAGGATGTGACCATCTGCAAGCCATGGAGAGAGGCTTCAGGAGAAACTGAATCTGCCAACACCTCGCTCTTGGACTTCAGAACTGTGAAAAAAATACATTTTAGTTGCTGACACCACCCAGTCTGTGCTGCTTTGGTACGGCTGCCCGAGCAGACAAATAGGGCCTCCAGTGCTATAAATTCAGATACCAATTTAGCCTGGAGGGAGAACTATGATTTGACGTGGGGGCTGTGGCTGGGCCTGTCCCCAAGCTGTTCCCATCATATCAGAAGCACCTGGTTCTGGCACATAGACTTAAGCAGCTCAGGCCTCAGTGGTGTCTCACTCACACATTTTTATGGTCTGTGTGGTGGTGGTAGGGTTTGAACGTGGGTCCTCACAAGTGCTAGGCAAGCTCTCTATCACATGAGCCATGCCTCCAGGCTTTTTTGCCTTTTTTTTTTTTTCAAACAGTCTCAGGCTTATCTTTCTATGTATGCTTTCTGTAGGATAGCAGACATACATCACTGTAGACTGCATCTCCAAAATAAGCAGGCAAAAGCAGGGGTGGAGCCATGGATCAAGTGTTAGGGTACCAGCTGAGTCAGCAAGCAGTATAAAGTCCCTGAGTTCAAGCCTCAGTACTACCAAAAGAAATTAATTCACCAAGTAACTAATCCATTCTATATTTGGAGTACAGTTTTATCATTTATGAATGTCTCAAACTTTAGAAGTACCCTTTTATTTTTTCTAGTGCTGGTAGGAGAGTTTGAACCCAGGGCCTGATCACTGGCCCTTAGCTTTTTCACTTAAGATTAGTGGAGTGTTCTACCACTTGTGCCACAGCTCCACTACAAACGTTTTAATGACTAATTGCAGACAAGAGTCTCATGGACTTTCCTGCTCAGGCTGAATTCAAATTGCATTCCTTAGATCTCAGTCTTCTCAGTAGCTTGGATTACAAGCATGAGACACACGCACTGATCCTTACAGTGACTTTTTTTTTGTCCTGACAAGGCCCTTCACAAGGAATCCTGAGATTGTGAAAAACCACAGACCACATTTTCACCTGGATTCTTCACTGAGCTCACCCCCTGCCTACAGTCCCAAGTCGTCCTCTAGGAAAACCCAAAGCACACATCTGTCCTTCTGTGCGTGAGGAGGGACTAGAATGTTGCAATAGTCTCTGCCCAATTCCTGCATATAGCAAGTGTGGTAATAAATCTCCTTTCTCTCACTTTTACCTCCACTCCTCTGTGTGTGTGGCGGGGGGGGGGGGGGGTGTTGGGGTGTGTGTGTGTGTGTGTGTGTGTGTGTGTGTGTGCTGGTACTGGGCTTGAACTCAAGTACTCATGCTCTTGCTTGCTTTTTCTCTCAAGACTAATGCTCTACCAGTTGAGCTACACCTCCACTTCTGGCCTTTTTTTATGGGTTAAGAGGAGGTAAGAGCCTCTCTGATTTGTCTGCCTGAACTGGTTTCAAACCTCAGTCCTCAGCCTCCTGAGTGGCTAGGATTACAGGCCTGAACCACCAATACTAAGCCCCATACTCCTCTATTTAATGGCATCTTAGAGGGAATTGCTAGACCTGAAATCTTGGACATCCAAGAGTTGGACATCCAAGGACATCTAGATTTGTATTGACTCAATAAAAGTTCTGAATGTTGAACTGACATTGGCCTCACAGTTGACCAGGAAATCAAGACGCTGCCTGCATCTGCCATTCACCCTGCTGGGCGCTGGGAACAGCCGATGGACATCTGGAGACAGGAGGGTATCAGGAGACATGGCAGCCACACTGGGCTGCACAGGACAAGGAGGACAAACAGCTGGGTTAGGACTGAGGCACTCAGACACGAGAGGATGCCACAGCTGGGCCCTCAGGACCAGAACTGAGGAGCCTCAGGCAGCAACATTGCAGAGAGGAAGATTCTATGAAGACCAGGTGCTGGTGACTCACGCCTATAATCCGAGCTACTTAGGAGGCTGACATCTGAAGATCACAGTTTGAAGCCAGCCTGAGGGTGGTAGGGAGAGGGGACAGAAACTCTTGTGAGACTCTTATCTTCAAAGAACTGGCAAAAAGCCAAACGTAAAGGTGTGGCTCAAGTTGTACAGTGCCAGACTTGAGCGAAAGAACCAAGCAAGAGTGCTGGGACCTGAGTTCAAGCCTCAGTAGTGACACAAAAAGTAAAAGTTTAAATGAATGAATGATAAGTAAGGATGGATTCTCAGAGCTACTCTGCCTATAGGCTCTGTCTACAACACTCAGTGGTGTATATGCTCCTAGCTATCCATCAGCTCCAGCTCCATACACACACATCCAGATAGGGTGACCACTTGCCCCGCCCACACAGGGCAACTGACAGGCATCTCTCTCTACTGATTCTACTGGAATGAAGAGAGGGGTGGAGACATCAAGAGGATCTTAAAGAAGCTGGGAGGAAATCCAACTCAGAGGGAAGAAGGACAGCAGAGCTGACCTCTGAACTGACCAGCCTGGGAACAGGGCTGGAGTCAAAGCACACCTCCACAGAGCTCAGAACTGGAAACAGATATCATCATGGAGGCCCACTCAGCCCTTCCCCACAGAGGATACATACCCTGGCAGGGGCTTCTGCTCACAGGTGAGGGGAGGATTTCTTGAGGGAGGGAGGGCAGGAGAAAGAGAGCACAGAGATCTGCTGGGCTCTTCTGTGAAGGGCAGCAACTGACAAGAGACACAGAGCTTCTATGTGGAGCTTAAGGGAACAGAACGTAAAGAGAGACAGAGGCCAGGCACAGGCTCACGCCTGTAATCCTAGCTACTCAGGAGGCTGAGATCTGATGATCTCGGTTCAAAGCCAGCCAGGCAGGAAAGTTCATGAGACTTTTATCTCCAATTAACCACCAGAAAACTGGAATTGGCTCTGTGGCTCAAGTAGTAGAGGGCTCGCCTTGAATTGAAGAGTTCGGGGACAGCAGCCAGGCCCAAAGTCCAAGCCCATGACAGACAAAAAAAAGGGGGGGAGCTGGGAGTGTGGCTCAGTGGTGGAGAGCTTGCCTCACATGCATGAAGCCCTGGGTTTTATTTCTCAGTACCACATACACAGAAAAAGCTGGAAGTAGCGCAGTAGCTCAAGTGGGAGAGCACTAGCCTTGAGCAAAAAGCAGCTCAGGGACAGTGCTCAGGCCCTGAGTTCAAGCCCCAGGATTGGCAAAGAGAGAGATGGAAGTGGGGCTTAGTCAGATATAGAAACTTCTCAGTGAACTTGAATTTCTCTTTATTTATTGTTAGTTATTATTCTTTTGTTTCATTTGTATGTTTATTTATTTATTTTTTTTTTGTCGGTCATGGGGCTTGAACTCTGGGCCTGGGTGCTGTCCCTCAGCTCTTCAGCTCAAGGCGAGCGCTCTACCACTTGAGCTACAGCGCCACTTCCAGTTTTCTGGTGGTTTATTGGAGATAGGAGTCTCACGGTCTCTCCTGCCCGGGCTGGCTTTGAACCACGATCCTCAGATCTCAGCCTCCTGCGTAGCTAGGATTACAGGCGTGAGCCACCAGCGCCTGGCTTATGTTTATTATTTTTTATTATCCTGGGGCTTGAACTCAGAGCCTGGGTGCTGTCCCTGAGGGTTTTCTTTTGTTGTTGTTATTTTTTGTTGTTTTTGCTCAAGGCTAGCAAACTGCCACTTGAGCCATAGCTCTGCTTCTGGTATTTTTAGTGGTTAATTGGAGATAAATGTCTTACATGGCTGGGCCCCAGTGACTCATTCCTGTAATCCTAGCTACTCAGGCAGCTGAAATGTGAGGATGGAGGTTCATAGCCAGCCTAGGAAGGAAAATTGGTGAGATTCTTATCTCCAACTAGCTACCAAAAAAAAAAAAAAAAAAAAAAGCCAGAAGTGGAGCTGTGGCTCAAGTGGAAGAACATTAGCCTTGAGTTTAAAAAAATAATAATAAAGCTCAGGGACAGCATTCAAGCCCTTAAAACCAGGCTGGCTTCAAACCACCATCCTCACATCTCAGCCTCCTGTTAGCTGGGATTACAGGCATAGCCATCAGCACCGGGCTGGTCTCAGTATTGATGGGTTTCTCTCTCTTCCCTCCCAGCCTCACTTTTAAGCCTCTGGCCCAGCTCACTGCTGAAACCGTGCCCCCCATTGTTGCTGAAGGGGGCACCGTGCTCCTGCATGTCCACCACCTGCCACCGAATCTTTTGCCTTTCGCTGGTTCAAGGGAGAAGAGACCATCCACAGCCATCACATTGTCTTCTTTCTGCCAGCAAATGGACAATCCAAAACAGGTCCTGCCTACACGGGCAGAGAGATCGTGTTCTGCGATGGCTCCCTGGTATTCAAGAATGTCACTTGGAATGACACTGGGATCTACACCCTACAAATCATACAAGAGGACTTGTGGAGTCAGACGGTGTCTGTGGAGCTCCGTGTAGCCCGTGAGTGATTCTCATGAGCTCTGGGTGCCAGGAGAAGTAGATGCACTGAACACACAGGCTGGCGGGCCTACACAGAGTCTACCTCTTATTCTGCAGGATGTGGCTTTGTTGGGGTTTGGGTATTGAAGGGAGGACTCACTGGGAGCCAAGTCCACCCCTCCCCCCAGATTTGTTACAGAGGGCACAGAGGGACGGTCCACAGGCCACAGTCCCACCGTCCTAGAGAGGGTCTGAGTTCCCAGAGGGCAAAATGGGAGAAAAGATGTCCCTTAGTGGTCCCTTTTCCAGAAGGAATTGTGCCCCAAGTATTGTCTTGTGGGTCATAGAGACAGAAGCTGATTGTCAGATACTTACTTGCCCAGAAAATACTGAGAGTGTTCATTTTGTTTTGCTTTGTTTTAGTACTTCTGAGGCTTGAACTCAGGGCCTGAGCTCTGTCCCTGAGCTTTTTTACTCAAGGCTAGTGTTCTACCACTTAATCCACAGTTCTACATTAGGCATTTGGGTGATTAACTGGAGATGAGTCTTATGGACTTTCATGCTCAGTCTGGCTTTGAACCATGATCTTCAGATCTCAGCCCCCTAAGTAGCTAGGATGACAGGTGTGAGCCACCAGTGCCCCATTGGAGTTTGTCAGGAGAGAGGAAAAGCTCAACTCCTCCCCGTTCAAGTTCACTGGCCAAGACATTTTGAAAATTGATGTTAATATTTATGTCAGGATGAATCTTGAGATTAACAAAACAAAACAGAACTGGGATTTTAAACATATCCTTAGCCACTAACCTCAGAACTTGCCAAATGAACCCTGCAGACACTGGGGCCCTTGGAACAGTGTTTCATTCATCCAAGGGTGTCTGAGCCTATCCCAGGCCCCAGGGCCACCACAGAGACCACAGCGTCCCTGTCCCCACCGATCTCTGCCTCTGCAGGCAGCAAGACCCAGCATCTAGAATGGGAGGCCAGGGGGTAAGAAGAGCCACAGAGGAGATAGAGCAGAGAGAGGGGAGAAAGTGGAGCCCCAGGTAATCTAAAGGAGAGGGTCAGGGAAAATGTCTCCCCAGGACACTCCGAGTGTGAGCAGGAGGTGAGAGGGCAGCCAGGGGTGAGCCGTGAAGCCCTCTGGGAAAAGTACTGCACACAGAGAAGGGGTGGCAAGTTCAGGGGCAGTGAAGAAATGGAGGTCATGTTGCTGGCAGAGCCAGTAGGAGACAGACTCTCTCTTTCTCTCTCTCTCTCTCTCTCTCACATACACACACATACACACTATGGCAGGAAATTGAAGACAACTTCTCTCAGGGCTCAGAGCTCTATTTTCCATCCGATATAGCAATCTCACTAATGAATGATGGATTTCTCTCTTCTCTCCTAGCCTTACTTTCATCAGTCCCGAAGCGGGTCGGCCTTGCCAAGCTCACTGTTGAAATGATACCGCCCTTGGTTTTCAAAGGAGAGGATGTTCTTCTCCGTGTCCACAACGTGCCAAGGAATGTGTTAGCCTTCTATTGGTTCAAAGGAGCCAAGATTGACCACACCCAAGAAGTTGTCTTCTATTTGGCCTATGTTAGACAATTCGGCCAAGGACCTGCATCCAGTGGCAAAGAAAAATTGTACCCCGATGGATCTTTGCTGTTGAGAAACCTCACTTGGAAAGATACAGGACTCTACAGCCTACAGATCATACAGGATGGTCCTGACATTGACTTGCTGTCCGTGGAGATCCGCCTGGCCTGTGAGTGATGCCCTCCCTGAGTGCCATAAGCCCTGGGTGCTGCGTGGGGTAAACGCAGTGCACACACAGGATGGCAGGCCTGCTTCAAGTCTACCTCGTATTCTCTATGATGTGGCCTTGTTGGGGTTTGAGCAGTCAAGGCAGGACTCACCGGGAGCCAAGACCACTCCCAGAGACTTGTTATAGAGAAGACAGAGGGATGGTCCACAGGCCACGATCCCACTGGTCCGGGGACACCACAGAGATCCCCTAGGGATCTCTGTGTTCCCAGAGGGATAAATAGGAGAAAAGATGTCTTTCACCTTTTGCCAAAGAAAATGAGCCCCAAGTATTGTCTTGTGGGTCATTTTTTTTTTTTTGGTCAGTCATGGGGCTTGAACTCTGGGCCTGGGCACTGTCCCTCCGCCCTTCAGCTCAAGGCGAGCACTCTACCACTTGAGCTATAGAGCTATTTTGGATTTTCTGGTGGTTTATTGGAGATAAGAGTCTCATGGACTTTCCTGCCCAGGCTGGCTTTGAACCATGAACCTCAGATCTCAGCCTCCTGAATTTTGTGGGTTTGAGAATAGAAGCTGCAGGTGGGGCATCTAATCTCCCCAAAAATACTGAGAGTATTTTCTTCCCTTTTTTTTCTTTTTCTTTTCTTCTCTTATTTTCCTTTCCTTTTCAGTTCTTCCCACACACACACCTTTTTCTTTGGTGTGAGTTCTGGAGCTTAGACTTAGGACCTGGGCTCTGTCCCTGTACTCTTTTGCTCAAGTGCTCTATTGCTTTAGCCATGGCACCACTTCCAGTTTTCTGATGATTAATTGAAGATAAAAGTCCCATGGACTTTCCTGCCTGAGCTGGCTTTGAACCGAGAACTTCAAATCTCAGCTTCCTGAGTAGTTAGGATGACAGATGTGAGACACCAGAACCTGGTGAAGGTCTCACTATTGATGGGTTTCTCTCTTGTCCTTCCCAGCCCCACAGGTAGCTGTCCAGTTCCACGCCACCCTTGCCAACATCTTTGTGGAAACTGTGCCGCCCAAAGTTATTGAAGGGAAAGAAGTTCTTCTCCGTGTCCTTAATCTGCCACAGAACATTATGGCCTTTCACTGGTTCAAGGCAAAAGAAGCCATTGACAGCCGTCAAATAGCCTTCTATTTTCCAACTGTCGGCACATCTAAGACAGGACCAGCACATAGTGGCAGAGAGAAATTGTTCTTTGATGGATCTCTGCTATTGCAGAACCTCACTCTGAAAGACACTGGATTCTATACCCTCCAAATCACTCGGACAGATCAGAGGATTGATTTGGTGTATGTGGAGATCTCTATTTCGTGAGTGATTCTCATGAGCCCTGGGTCCAGGGTAGACTGACTATAATGCACACACAGGATATGAGGCCTGCACAGAGCCATTAAGACACACGCACACATACATGCACGCACACACATATGCACATGCACACCTGCATTATATGTATACACATACACACGCATGTGAATACACATGTGCACATGTAGGCACACAAACATGTATGTATGTGCACATAACATTCATAATACACATACACACATGTGTATGTGCACATACATATATGTACATATGCACATACATAAACAGGTGCATGTGCACGAGCACACACACACACATGTACATATGCATGTGTGAACACCAAGGCATGTAAACATACACATATGTATACACACATACATGGGTATATATGCACATGTGAATAGGTGTGTGCATATATACACACATACATACATACACAGACACATATACCCCAAAGCAAGAGATTGAGGACACATTCTCAGGGCTCCATTTTCCCTCCATACCAAGGTCTCAATATGAATGGGGTTTCTCTCTCCTCCCTCCTAGCTTCCCTTTTAACCCTCTGGAAGACACCGATCCCTGCCCAGTTCACCATTGAACCAGCTCTGCCCTTGAACAAGTCGGACATTTTCCTGAAGGTTCACAATCTGCCAGAGAATCTTTTAGCCTTCCGGTGGTTCAAAGGACAAGAAACCATCACCTCCCAGCAAATCGCCTCGTACGTGACAGGTCTTAGAGTTACTATACCAGGACCTGCATCCAGCCACAGAGAGATCGTGTACCCCAATGGCATGCTCCTGCTGCAGAATTCCACTCAGGAGGACCTAGGAATATACACCTTGCAAACTATAAGTGAAGATCTGTGGTGTGAGAGAAAATCTCAGCATATCCCACTTTACCGTGAGTGGTTTTCATGAGCCCTGGGTGCCGAGTAGGGTGAATGCACTACACACACAGGTTGGCAGGCCTGCACTGAGTCTACTTCCCCTTTTTCATGATATGGCCTTATTGCGGTTTGACCATTGAAGGCCAGATTCACCCGGAACCAAGTCTACCCCGTGAGACTTGTTATAGAGAGCACAGAGGAATGGTCCACAAGCCATGATCCCACTGTCCTGGGGACCACCGACCTACTCTAGGGAGGCCTGTGTTCCTAGAGGGAAAAATAGAAGAAAAGATGTTTTTTGGAGTCCTCTTTTTCAGAAGAAAATGAGCTCCAAGTATTGCCTTGTGGGTCATTGAGAACAGAGGCTGCATGTGGGGACATCTAATCTCCCCCCAAAACTGTAAGTGTTTTGTTTGTTTTGGGCCAGTGCTAGAGCTTGAACTCAGGACCTTACACTCTCCCTTTGCTTTTTAGGTCAAGGCTGGTGCTCTACCAGTTGAGCTATGCAAGCACATCTGGCTTTTTGCTGTTTAATTAAAAATAAGAATATCAAGGACTTTTCTGCCCACCATGGTGTCAAACCTTCAATCCTCTAATGTCAGCTTCCTGATTAGCTAGGATTACAGGTGGGAGCCATCCATACCTGCTGGAATTCCCAGGAAAAGCTCAACACTTGGCATTCAAGTCAGTCATTACCATCTACTATATTTTGGAAAGTGATGTTAACATTGATATCAGGGTGGTAAATGAAATAAAAATACAACTGGTGCTTGAAACGTGTCTGTAGCCACCAACCTCAGAAATTGCCAAATAAACCCTGTGGAAGGTGTTCTCTGTGGTAGAGCACTTGCCTTGCATGCATGAGGCCCTGGGTTTGATTCCTCAGCACCACATAAAGCAGAAAAAGCTGGAAGTGGTGCAGTGGCTCTAGTGGTAGAGCTGAAGAGCTGAGGGACAATGCCCAGGCCCAGAGTTCAGGTTCCACAACTGGCAAAAATAAAATAAATAAATAAATAAAAACCCTGTGGATATGCAGGGCCCTGAGAATGCCAGTTCATTCCTCTGTGGGTATCTGAGCCTGTCCTAGGCCCAGGGGCTACCATAGGGAACACAGTATCCCTACCCCCACAGAGCTCCCAGTGGGCAGCAAGACAGAGCAGTGAGGGCATCTAGAAGAAGAGCCAGGGGACAAGAGCCACAGAAGGCATAGAGTAAGGAGAGGTGAGAAAGAGGGGTCCCAGGGATTCTAGAGGAGGGGGTCAGGGAAGGAATCTCCCCAGGACACCCTAAGTGTGAACCAAGGTAAGCCATGAAGCCCCTGGGAAGTTTGTTGCACAGAGGTGGCGGCAAGTTCAGGGGCAGAAAAGAACTGAAGATCATGCCACATGCTGGTGACTCATGCCTGTCATCCTAGCTACTCAAGAGGCTGAGATCTGAGGATCTCAGTTCAAAGCAGCCCAGGCAGGAAGTCCATGAGACTCTTATCTCCAATGAACCAGATAACTGGAAGTGACCCTGTGGTTCAAGTGGTAGAGCACTAGCCTTGAGCTCACAAACAGTGTCTATGCCCTGAGTTCAAGCCCTACAACCAACTAAAAGATTTTTTTTTGTTGGTCTTAGGGCTTGAACTCTTGGCCTGGGCACTGTCCCTCAGCTCCTTAGCTCAAGGCGAGCGCTCTACCACTTGAGCCACAGAGCCATCTCTGATTTTCTGGTGGTTCATTGGAGATAAGAGATTCACAGACTTTCCTGCCTGGGCTGGTTTTGAACCGTGATCTTCAGATCTCAGCCTCCTGAGGATTACAGGCGTGAGCCACCAGCACCCTGCCAAAAGATTTTTGGAAAAAGAAAAAGAAATGGAGGTCATGCTGCTGGAACCAGTAAGACACAAACACACACACACACACACACACACACACACACACACACACACACACACACATCCCTATAGTTTGACACCTGGAATTGGTCACCCTAATTTGGTGTCATTTCCTGCAATGGCATCCATAGCACCCTCCTGCTCCTTGGAGGAAGATGGGGTCTACACAACACCCCAGCACCTCCCCCACTTTCTCCTGGTGATATTTCTGGACTGTTGGAAATAAAAGAACTGGGAGTGCCTGGCGCACCAGCTGTTCTCCTTCGAGTGGTGGTCAGCACCATGGACAGCGCCTTAGGCCTCCCATCTCCAGGCTCTGCAGCAGGGAGGCAGAGGAGATAGTTATCACAGCAGGAAGGGCCACCCATCCCTCCCCTGCCCAAGAAATAGGAGAGGAGGAAGTTCTTACAGGGAGGATCAATTTCTCCTTATGCCTTCTGCCCTGTGTGTCTTCCACACATGGAGGGACATTAGGGCCATGGCTTGTCCACTGCACTTTCCCACGGGGAAGATGGCTGCACCTCCAGCGTGGCCTTGTGGAGAATGAGGGCTGGCTCCAGACGCATGGTGTGGGCCGATCCTGGAAGTCAGGGATCTGGTGTATGGCACTGTGATAAGAATAGGCAAGTCCCTGCTTGATCACCAGCAGTCTCAAATAATGATCAATACATCAGTTAACCAATCATCACCTGAGACTTAGGATACTACCTCTGCCTATCATAGTGATAGAAACTTCTCACAAGTAACTTCTGGCTCCACTGCCTGGCTTTGGAACTACATCTATTAGTCCCAGAGACCACCACCTTGGACACAGTATCCCCCTCCTGAGCCCCAGCTGGGTCTCCGGGAAACTGATCCAAGCTTTGCTTCCTGGACCATTCAGCAAGTTGCTCTAAGCCAAACTTTGTCACCACCCCCAGCCCCTCCAGTCTCGCCTTTATACCGCCCAAGTTTCCCTGTGTCTGGTCCCTGAGGTGTTAACCCCCCTCCACCCCCCACTCCCCGGCTTGGATGGGAAGGTACCTGATTCCCTCTCCTCCTTCTTGAAGAGTTGCTGGGCCCCACAGACTCCCTCATACCCTTCAGATCCTCATTAATCATCTTCAGGGGGGAAAGCCCTGGGAGGAACAGCAGGTTCTAGAACATTCCACGCTCAAGAATCACTCCTGAGCTGGGTGCTGGTGCCTCATGCCTGTAATCCTAGCTACTCAGGAGGCTGAGATGTGAGGATCATGGTTCAAAGCCAGCCTAGCAGGAAAGTCCATGAGATTCTTATCTCCAACCAGAAGTGGTGCTGTGGCTCAAGTGGTAGAGCTCTTGTCTTGAGCTGAAGAGCTGAGGGACAGAGTTCAAGCCCCACCACAACCCTCCCTCCAAAAAAAACAATCACTCCTGAGTCTTCCCCTCCTCAGTAGCCTATGTGTTGAAAGCTATTTACTTTTTTAATTTTTAAATTATTTTTTATTTTCTTTAGTTGTACAGAGTAGTTTTATAAAAAGTAGTTCAGGGGCTGGGAAGGTGGCTCAGTGGTACAGTGCATGGCTTGCATGCATAAGGCCCTTGGTTCAATTCCTCAGCACCACATAAGCAGAAAAAGCCGGAAGTGGGGCTGAGTCTCAAGCGCTAGAGCGCTAGTCTACAGCTGAAGAGCTGAGGGACAGCGCCCAGGCCCAGAGTTCAGGCCCCATGACCGACCAAAAAAAAAAAAAAAAAAAAAGTAGTTCAACAAAGCAGCTTATAAATACAATGACGCTTGATCAACATCATCCCTTTCAACATCCTCATCCATCTTTTTTGTCTCTTTCTTTCGGTACCATGTCTAAAAGGAATCTTTGCTAGCAAGGCACCAGTGGTTCACGCCTATAATTCTTAACTACTTAGGAGGATGAGATCTGAAAATCCCAGTTCAAAGCCATCTGGGGCAGGAAAGTCCATGAGACTCTTATCTCCAATTAATCATAAAAAAGCCACTTGAGCATTGGCTCAAGTGGTTGAACACTAGCTTTTAAGGGGGCAGGGAAGGAGCTCAGGGACAGTGTCTAGGCCCAGAGTTCAAACTCAAAGACAAGAGAGAAAGAAAGAAAGAAAGAAAGAAAGAAAGAAAGAAAGAAAGAAAGAAAGAAAGAAAGAAAGAAAGAAAGAAAGAAAGAAAGAAAGAAAGAAAGAAAGAAAGAAAGAGGAAGGAAGGAAGGAAGGAAGGAAGAAAGGAAGGAAGGAAGGAAGGAAGGAAGGAAGGAAGGAAGGAAGGAAGGAAGGAAGGAAGGAAGGAAAAGAAATCTTTGCCTATACCAGAATTGCAGATATATTCCTGTTTTTAATCTTTTATTATTTTTATTTTTTGCTGGTCCTGGGGCTTAAACTCAGAGCCACAGCACTGTCCCTGAGCCTGTCTGTGCTCAAGGCTAGCACTCTACCACTTGAGCCACAGAGCTACTTCCAGCTTTTTCTGTTTATGTGATACTGAGGAATAGAACCCAAAGATTCATGCATGCTAGGCAAGCACTCTACCACTGAGGCACTTCCAAGTCCCTCCCCTGTTTGTAGAGTTTTTACACTTCAATCTTGTCATTGGATTTATGATCCACTATAAGTTGTTATTTTTTTATCATGTAAGGAAAGATTTGAAATTCCTTTATTGTAGAAGAGTTATACATCTGAGTCTTGATATAATTTTTTTTTTTTTTTGTCGGTTGTGGGGCTTGAACTCTGGGCTTGGGCGCTGTCCCTGCGTTCTTCAGCTCAAGGTAAGCATTCTACCACTTGAGCTACAGTGCCACTTCTGGTTTTCTAGTGGTTTATTGGAGATCAGAGTCTCAGGGACTTTCCTGCCTGGGCTGGCTTTGAACCATGATCCTCAGATCTCAGCCTCCTGAGTAGCTAGTATTACAGGTGTGAGCCAACAGACCCCAGCTTACTTTTGGCTTTTTCCTGTTTATGTGGTACTGAGGAATCTAACCCAGGGCTTCATGCATGTGAAGCAAGCACTCCACCACTAAGCTACATTCCCAGTCCTTGTATAATTTTTGAAAAGACCTATCCCCCCATTGTATTATTTGTTTGTTTGTTTGTTTTTTGGGTCCGGTCATGGGGCCTGAACTCTGAGCCTGGGCGCTGTCCCTCAGCTCTTCAGCTCAA